GGGCGGGCGTGGCCGCGGTGGTGGCGGCGGCGCCGGACAACGCCACGGCGCAGCTGGGCGTGGTCAAGGCGTGCTACAGCCTGGCCGAGGACGCCGAGGGTGAAGGTCTGGTCATCTTCCCCGGCGGTGGTGGTGGCGGCGGCAACAACGCGGCCACCAGCGAGGAGCCGCCGGGCAGCCAAGTGGGCGCGTCCGCCGGCAGCACGGCCGCGCCGTCATCGTCATCATCATCATCGTCATCATCGTCCTCACGGTGCGGGAAGTGCGGGGAGAGCTTCCAGGGCGTGGAGAAGCTGGTGTTCCACATGCGGGCGCAGCACTTCGTCTTCATGTGCCCCCGCTGCGGCAAGCAGTTCAACCACAGCAGCAACCTGAACCGGCACATGAACGTGCACCGCGGCGTCAAGTCGCACGGCTGCGGCGTCTGCGGCAAGAGCTTCACGCAGAAGTCCACGCTGCACGACCACCTGAACCTGCACAGCGGCGCGCGGCCCTACCGCTGCTCCTACTGCGACGTGCGCTTCGCCCACAAGCCGGCCATCCGGCGGCACCTCAAGGAGCAGCACGGCAAAACCACGGCGCAGAACGTTCTGGAAGCCGGCGGCAGCGAGGGAGGGGTGGTGATGCGTTGATGTTGGGGCGGGGGAGGGCCCGGCGCGGTGGGGGGTGACAAAGAGGCCAAAGTGACCACAGAGTGACCACCAGAGTGAAACAAAGTGACCCCAAAGTGGTGGGGAGTGACCGCTGGACACTGGACCCTGCTGGACACTGAGGGGTGGCGGCAAGGAGGCCGAAGTGACCACGGAGTGACCACCAAGTGACCCCCAAAGTGGCACAAAATGACCCCTAAGTGGTGGGGAGTGACCCCTGGACACTGGACCCTGCTGGACACTGAGGGGTGGCGGCAAGGAGGCCGAAGTGACCACAGAGTGACCACTAGAGTGAAACAAAGTGACCCCAAAGTGGCACAAAATGACCCCTAAGTGGTGGGGAGTGACCCCTGGACATCTGAGCCCTGCTGGACATTGAGGGGTGGCAGCAAGGAGGCCAAAATGACCATGGAGTGACCACCAGAGTGACACCAAGTGACCCCCAAAGTGGCACAAAGTGACCCCAAAGTGGTGGGGAGTGACCACTGGCCACTGGACCCTGCTGGACATTGAGGAGTGACCGCTGGGGTGGCGGCAAGGAGGCCGAAGTGACCACAGAGTGACCACTAGAGTGAAACAAAGTGACCCCAAAGTGGCACAAAATGACCCCTAAGTGGTGGGGAGTGACCGCTGGACACTGGACCCTGCTGGACACTGAGGGGTGACCACTGGGGTGGTGACAAAGAGGCCAAAGTGACCACAGAGTGACCACCAGAGTGAAACAAAGTGACCCCAAAGTGGTGGGGAGTGACCGCTGGACACTGGACCCTGCTGGACACTGAGGGGTGGCGGCAAGGAGGCCGAAGTGACCACGGAGTGACCACCAAGTGACCCCCAAAGTGGCACAAAATGACCCCAAAGTAGTGGGGAGTGACCGCTGGACATTGAGGAGTGACCACTGGGGTGGCAGCAAGGAGGCTAAAGTGACCATGGGGTGACCCCAAAGTAGTCAGGAACGACCCCAAAATGGGGGGAATGGACCCCAAAGTGACCCCAAAGTGGGGGCAAGTGACCGCTGGCCACTGGACCCTGCTGGACATTGAGGAGTGACCACTGGGGTGGCAGCAAGGAGGCTAAAGTGACCATGGGGTGACCCCAAAGTGGTCAGGAACGACCCCAAAATGGTGGGAAACGACCCCAAAGTGACACCAAGTGACCCCAAAGTGGGGGGGAGTGCCCCCTGGACCCGACCCCGCTGGGACCGAGGGGGCTGACCCCAAAATGCTGGGGGGGTGGGGGAAGGGAACCCCAAAAATTTGGGGTTTTTTGGGGGGTTTTAGGAGGTATAGAAGAGAAATTCGGAGATCCCTTTTTGGGGGGGTGTGAGACCCTTTTTGGGGTGGGGGAGGGGCTGTGGGACCCCTCCCCCATAAGGAGTTTTTTTTTTTTTTGGGGTTTTTTTGTAATAAATTTATTTTGAAAAAAAAATGGGGTGACCCCAAAGTGGTCAGGAACGACCCCAAAATGGGGGGAATGGACCCCAAAGTGACCCCAAAGTGGGGGCAAGTGACCGCTGGCCACTGGACCCTGCTGGACATTGAGGAGTGACCACTGGGGTGGCAGCAAGGAGGCTAAAGTGACCATGGGGTGACCCCAAAGTGGTCAGGAACGACCCCAAAATGGGGGGAATGGACCCCAAAGTGACCCCAAAGTGGGGGCAAGTGACCGCTGGCCACTGGACCCTGCTGGACATTGAGGAGTGACCACTGGGGTGGCAGCAAGGAGGCTAAAGTGACCATGGGGTGACCCCAAAGTGGTCAGGAACGACCCCAAAATGGGGGGAATGGACCCCAAAGTGACCCCAAAGTGGGGGCAAGTGACCGCTGGCCACTGGACCCTGCTGGACATTGAGGAGTGACCACTGGGGTGGCAGCAAGGAGGCTAAAGTGACCATGGGGTGACCCCAAAGTGGTCAGGAACGACCCCAAAATGGGGGGAATGGACCCCAAAGTGACCCCAAAGTGGGGGCAAGTGACCGCTGGCCACTGGACCCTGCTGGACATTGAGGAGTGACCACTGGGGTGGCAGCAAGGAGGCTAAAGTGACCATGGGGTGACCCCAAAGTGGTCAGGAACGACCCCAAAATGGGGGGAATGGACCCCAAAGTGACCCCAAAGTGGGGGCAAGTGACCGCTGGCCACTGGACCCTGCTGGACATTGAGGAGTGACCACTGGGGTGGCAGCAAGGAGGCTAAAGTGACCATGGGGTGACCCCAAAGTGGTCAGGAACGACCCCAAAATGGGGGGAATGGACCCCAAAGTGACCCCAAAGTGGGGGCAAGTGACCGCTGGCCACTGGACCCTGCTGGACATTGAGGAGTGACCACTGGGGTGGCAGCAAGGAGGCTAAAGTGACCATGGGGTGACCCCAAAGTGGTCAGGAACGACCCCAAAATGGGGGGAATGGACCCCAAAGTGACCCCAAAGTGGGGGCAAGTGACCGCTGGCCACTGGACCCTGCTGGACATTGAGGAGTGACCACTGGGGTGGCAGCAAGGAGGCCAAAGTGACCACGGAGTGACCCCAAAGTGGTCAGGAACGACCCCAAAATGGTGGGAAACGACCCCAAAGTGACACCAAGTGACCCCAAAGTGGGGGGGAGTGACCCCAAAGTGGGGGGGAGTGACCCCTGGACCCGACCCCGCTGGGACCGAGGGGGCTGACCCCAAAATGCTGGGAAATGACCCCAAAGTGGTGTGGAACGGCCCCAGAATGATGAGGAACCGCCCCAAAATCATCAGGAATGACCCCCAAAAAAATGGGTGACAAATTTTGGGGTCCCCATTTAAAATCCAGAAAAAAAAAACCCCAAAACCCCAAAATTTTATGCAAAAAAAAACTGAGAAAAATTCTGATTTTTGGGGGAACCCTCCCCAAATTTGGCCCCTCTGGGTAAATTTGGGGGTCCCAAGGCCTTGGTGGAAAATTTGGGGGATTTTTTTGGGGGTCCCCTCCCAAATTTTTAGGGTCCCTACTGATTTTTGGAGGGGGTCCCCCCGTTTTTTTGGGGTTTCCTCCTGATTTTAAGGGTCCCCCTGAATTTTTGGGGTCCTCCCCGAATTTTTGGGGGGCTTTTGTAGATTTTAGGATTTGGGGGGGACCCCCTTAGGTTGTAGTGAGGGGTGGGGGAAAGGAGTTTTTTTTTTTTGGAGTTTTTTTGTAATAAATTGATTTTGAAAAAAAAAAGTAAAATGGATTTTCTAAATTTATTTTTTGGGGTTTATTCTTTGATTTTTTTTTAGGGGATTAATTTGTCGTTGGGGGTGTATTTAATTTCGGGCGATTAATTAATTTTTTGTGATTTTTTAATTTCTAAGGATTAATTTTTAAGAAATTATTTAATTTTAGGTGACTTATTAGTTTAATTTTGGGGATTTATTAATAGTTTTATATTTAGTTTTGGGGTTTTTTATTTTTAATAATTAATTAATTTAGAGGAATTTATTAATTTATTCTCCAAAAAAGGTAATGGGCGTGGCTTAAAGAGGCGTGGCTTAACGCAAAGGGCGTGGCTTCCTCAGTGGGCGGAGTCGCGCCAGCAAGACAAAGCTTTGCTCTGTGGGCGTGGCTTTGCCCATATAAGGAATAACCACGCCCCTTTGCCCTGCGTGCTGACGTCACGGCGCGCGGCGCGCTCGGCGGCGATGGAGGCGGCGGGAGGCGCCGAGGTCTGAGGGGAGGCGACCCCGGGGCCCCTTTTTGGGGCAATCTGAGGCGATTTCGGTGTTTTTTGTGGGGCTTTGAGGGGTTTTGGGCAGCCGGGGGGTGTCTGGGAGCGGCGGGAAGGGCGGGATCCGCTGGGGGGAGGGGCGCTCCCCTCACGGAGCGCTCTGCCCCTCCCCCTCCCCCTCAGGACCCTCCCGTCGGGACCCTCGTGGTGGAGGCGGCGGGAGAGGCCGGTGAGTGACCCCTCCCCGCAATTTGATCCCCCCGAGACCCTCGAGATCCCCCCTCAGGATCCCCCCTCAGGATTCCCCTCAGGACTTTGGGGGGTCCTGGGGGGTGTGGGTTTATTTTGGGGTGGGGTGAATTTTGGCTTTCAGCTCAATTTGGGTTCCTCCGACCCATTTTTGAGTGGGGGTCTCCCCTTTCCCCTCCCCCAGGCCACGCCACCAAGACCCTGCCGGGCTCCCCAGGCCGGGGGGGCTCGATTTTGGGGGGCTCAGGAGGGGGGGGCTCTCCCCCCACCCCCCTGCCCCCCCCCAGCCGTGCCAAAATGTCCCTGACGGGGGCGGGGGGGGGCAAAACCCCCCCTGGCCAAAGCCTGGCCTTGCGCCTGCTCAGCCTCCCGGGGGGGGGTCCCGGGGGTC